CCATCCATCCATCCATCCATCCATCCATCCATCCATCCATCCATCCATCCATCCATCCATCCATCCATCCATCCATCAAGCCAACCAGCCAACGAGCCACCCAATAAGGTATCAACTTTCAAATAGGTAACATCAGCACATGGTTTCATCGTCAATAAATTGACTTAGTGCCCCCCCCCCCCCCCGCCACTAGAAAAAGTCCTTCTCTCTTTCCTTTTATTTCTATATTTTTATCAATATCTTACCAGTAAGTCGGGCATTAAAATAAGCTCACACTAACATATATCGATGGTTTAATAATTCATCCATTTTCTTGTTATCACATTACACTTGACATAGATCAATTATCTTAGCATGTTCCTGAATCATAGAATACTGCTGGGTATACTTTTATTTATTTATTTATTTATTTTTATTTATAACAACATTTTCCAGCCAGATAGTTACACGACTTTGTATAGCCATGTCCAGATGGACAGCCTGCTATGTGAAAGAACCAGTATGTTCCGCTATGGCTTCCACATTTGCAACCCACTCTTTTCATTAAGTACCTTTCTGTAAAGAGAATATGTGTCGGTCAAAAATTATCGACTAATAAATCAGTTATAAAACCATTCAACTGTTACAGTAATAGCATGATTGTTTTACCTTCAGCATCATCATTAATAGGCAATGCTACTGATGCTGCAATCAGCACAACAAGCACAACAAGGATAAGGAGTCGTGAACACATGGCTTCGTCTTGAATAGATGTCTGTGGAAAACTAATTCACAATAATACTTACATTAATAATGCCTTGGGGGGGGGGGGGGGTGTGTTCATTTGTCTCTTTTCTTCGTTATTTTCACTACAAAAAATGTCATTCTTGCACAGACAAAGGAACTTTACTGAATTAAGATTTGATTCGGCAGTTTAAATAGATAGAGCCAACTGAGTCTAGCAATGCATTTGACTAGCCATTAGAGTGTTTACTGGATAACAGTGAGTTCCACGTGCGACTCGATTTTAGATCGACGTATTATAGCCTCTTAGCAAAAATAATTTGCATGGTTTTGACAAATCAAATGGTTACCAAATTGGGGAACGTTTTTGTTACCAACTGAAAGATCACGAGTGAATAAGTACGTTTGCACAGTTTCGAACTAGGAAGGCAAATATTTGTAAAGTTACAAGCAGTTAGAATGTGCCAAAAGCAAGAAAATAAGGCCGGCAAAGCCTCGATCCTCTTTATGTCATACAAATCTTTCTAATTTCTATAACCTTACATATTCTGCCTATGATGACATCAGCAATGCCAATGGAAAGACATGTTCGTCAGTCCATGGCTTTTCGGATGCATAGGGTCCATTGTCAAAACAAATAGACATTTAATTCCGGGCATGTGCAACGTTTAAACTAGGCCAAGCAATAGACGGAAATATATTAAACCTTTCTTATCTTTAATAAATACAAGATCCGTCTTAAATTCATTCATTCACTTTGATACTACTCGTATATTTTCCTTATCGTGTTTCGGTACACTAAAACAACCTCTTGGAAGACTTATGTCTCAATAAGGCCATCAAAGAAAGATTTTATTCTGAATAGCACAATTATATAGAAATTCACGAGTTCGAATTAAAAACATGCAAAAGTTGTACAAAAATGTCAAGTCAATCCGCTTTAGTTATGGCTCCGTCAAGTAAATCAACATACCTTTTTGAAAGATGTGTTTGAGCTTCTTGGCTTCCGCGTGAGTAAAAAGCAACTAGTAGCTTGTAAGGGAAAACATAACCCTTTTTTTATCGATTATATAAAATATGCTTATGAGTAAAAAGTATTATAATTTTGATCAATATGATCGTGAGAAAACGTGCTCATTGGCTCCATCTTGACTAGACTTGTCGGTGATGGATTCGAGAAGGCGTTGGAAAAAAAGCTGGGAAATGAAGAAGAAGGAGAAGGGGGGAAGAAGAAGGAGAAGGAGGGAAGAAGAAGAAGAAGAAGAAGAAGA